ACAGAAACACAGTGCCTCTTGCCAGAGCATCCCGTGCTTTTCTGTCTGCTCTTGCTGAACTATTCAGACTTGAGAAAAGGGGGGACTGTCTTAGGGACCATCCTTAACATGACTTCCTATGTCCTAAAAACTGTACTTTTATATCGTATTTTATGTATATATGAAGTCCAGAAAGGCCTCACATCTGAACCCGGTTTGAAAGGAACCACTTTTTGAGAAAATTGATAAAGAGGAATTTCAAGTGCTGAATGCACACATAAAGGCATAAAAGAACAGTACTGCCTTCTTGTAAAACATTAATTAAGAGCAAAATATTACTGAAGTGTCTGGGCAGACTATCCAAGTGCGATGAGAAGTGAAGCCTTCACACAGGAGGCACAAGGAAAGCATGCACAGTCTCCTCGGTGTCCTCAAGTCAACCATCACTCCCATGCGTCCTGAAGTGATGGAGACTTCAGCCTTAGCTGTGAATTTCATGCCATGTTGCAAAAAATTCCTGAAAATAATATCTGAAGTATCTAAGCTGTGCTTGAAGGCTGTCAGCCTGTTTGACTTCTCCAGGCACTGAGCCTGAAGTCTTTATCGACAGCAGAAGCAATGTCAGTGTCAAACTCTCTATCCAATACTCATGAACATCAGTGCCAGGTAGGAGCAACCAACTGTAAGAGCAGGAACTATCATGTACAAAGGATCTTTGGCCTTTCTACTGAAACTCCTAACTGGCCTGGCAATTAACGCCATTTCCAAGAGAAAAAGTAGGAACTGACTTCAGAGCAGCAAGTTATTTCATCTGAGGCACTGGGGAGCCATTGGATAGCAGAGTCGTTTTGTCAGAGATATCTTTGAAACCATTGCTGAGAAAAATACAAAGCTCTACAATAAACTATCAGTCCTTTGAGGTCTCCTTTGTCCTCTTAGTTTTAGTTAACAGCGAGGAACTACAGTGGTAATGGTGTGATACGAGCCGCCTTCCATTTCCCACAAAAGGAGAAGGACCTAATGCAAGATCTTGCTAAATGTTACCCGCCTCAATATTGAAACCTATAAAGTCTTGTCACATCAAATCAATTTCAAGGACAACTTCTGGAATTTCAAGTTTTCAGTGAAATGTAGCAAAGGGTCAGCTGTGTTTGTCAATGGTCAAACACATACTTTGCAAGTTATTTTACAGAAGCCTCTTAACACAGATATCTGCTATCAATTAAAAGAAACCACCAGAATTTCAAGAGCAATTTATATTTCTAAATGTCTAGAAACATGTTCTGCTTCTACTGAAGTTTAAATACAGCCAAGTTTACATAAGAATTACTAATTGGTTATAAAGGTCATGCCTTTTTAATATATGAATATTGGAGGTCTGAAACAGATTAGACTGTGGTATTTGGTTCAGTGCTGAATTTGTATTAAATGGTGTTATATTGATTTGATGCGCTGCTCAGATATGCTGAAGCTTTAATTGAATATCCTAGAAGATGTTAATTCTAACAGATACATCCTTAAAAGTAGTAGCTTAGTGATCTGAAATTGCTTTCTACTACAGGCCTCTGCCAGTTTTCAAGAAAGAGAGAGAGGTATTTTGGAGTCCTTAATCTGAGACTGTATGTTAACAAATATCTAAGGAGAGGTTCTTTCTTTTCCTTTTCAATATGGATGAGTGCCCTTTGAAAGCCAAAAGGGAATTGATGTAATCTATTGATTGCCATTTAAATGCCTTTATGAGCTAATTAGTGCAAAATGTAAAATGTTTCTGAGCAGAAACAGGCAACAATCCTGAAAATACAGGAAGGCTCCTGAATTTTAAGATACACTGGGGATACAAATGCCCGGATGCAGAGAGTCACCAACAAGTGAGGAGTGAGAGTAGTGCCTGCTGTGAAACTGTTAAAAAAAATCCATTCTCTTGTTGTAACTGTGAGAGCAATGTCATGCCAACGGCAGTCACTGTGTGCGCTTGAAACAGCAAAACAGTATCGAGCTTTAATCTACATAGTTGTGATAGGGTCTATCTAGGAGACATTGTGGCATTTAGGGAAACAGCCAATGCTATAAAATAGGTCACTTGCTGGAGTCTGCCCAGGTCTGAAGTGGCTGAAAGTCATTACCATCTGTTCATCTGAAGCGAGGCGCTGGTATCGGTCCAGTTTCTAGCAGATAGGTATCACTGTAAAAGAAACCTTCAGAAGTGATTCTCGTTGGGAATGGGGTTGGCAGAAAGGAGCCACGGACTGAAGGCTCTAAAGGAGCAGGCAAGACGGTGGCTGTCTGAAGCTCATTTATGTGTGGTCCCTCTATGACGCATTAGGAGGCAACTCCTGCTTCCTGCTGTCAGTCTGGCACCTTTCACTGGCCAACAGCAGCCATTAAGATCAATATCTAACTAATAGCTTTGTTTGAGAAACGTTTTACCTTTACAGCTCTAGGAAGAGATATATCCGTACAAGCTGCTCTATGGGATCTTGGAGAGACTCTGTCCTGCACCTCCTGTGTGAAGTCACTGTTCTTGGTGCCTCTGCACATGTGCTGACCTCCTGCTCATAGCTAGGTAATCTCTCCCAGCTCCAGGGAAGGTTTAGCTACCTCTCACATGCCACAGCCAGAGCGTGCGTACATACACACGGGCAATCAGTGTAAGTAAGGATGGCATTAACTTGCTCATGTAGCCATCCCCTCCGTTAGAAGCTTCCTTTCTCACTGGGCAGATGATCCTGACCTACTCAGTCAACTGTTGCTTGAATTGGTTAAATACTGGTGGGGAATGGGTGGACGAGGATATTCCCCTCACAGAGGGAACAAGCATCACACTGTACCCAGGAGAACTCACTGTTTTTTCTGACTCAGACCACTGTCACTCCCACTGATGCTCTAGTAGTAGTGAGAAAAGAGCTTACAGGGAGAAAAATATCCCAAACCACAGAGCCAGGCATAGTCAGTGCAGCAGGCGCTCAGGAACCAAGGGTCCTCTAAGAGTTATTTCAAGTTTCAGCCATCATTACCATCTTATTAAGTAGCTAATAAAGACTGTACAATGAAGTGTTTATGTGAACATATGCATTTAACCTAAGGCAAAGCTTTTGCCCTTCTCAAATCAACTGAAGAAGACTCTAATTACAACAGTTTCATGGCTGCATCACTCTATTCAAATTAATTACTCTGCAAAAGTTAATACAACTGAAATTATGTTGTGTGCCTTGAGAACACCGAGGAGAGAGAAGCACCACTTAGGGCTCATTCTCCTTCCCACTTGGCCCATCCGGATCACCCAGAGCAGGCGTTACGCCCCGCTCCACCACTACTGAGGCTCTGCTCTCCTCCTTCCCCATCTGACTCCTCTCCCTGCCTGACGGAGCTGGCAGCTCCTGACAGATCATCCTCATTTCCAGCCCTGCTTTCTCCAGCACCAGGAGAGAGTCACAGCTCATCTCAAGACTATTAACAGCACAACAAAGTATTCATACATTTACTAGACTTTGTATCCTCTCACACGAAACACTCATTCCTTTGATCTCTGGGTGAGAAGTGATTTCCTTGTTATGTCAAACTATTAACGAAATGAAGAAACACCCCCACTCAATCCCTCTTTCTGTATTAAAGGTAACAAGATATTCAAAAGAATATTTTTTTCGCCCTAAGAACAGTATAGTGACTGTTATCAGCACCAATATTTCTAATCAAGTTGTGCTGCCTCTTCTGACAGGTTCACCCAACTCATTTTTGCTGTGCAGATAATACTGCCTCAGGCTGACAATTAAACAGAATCCAAATTTTTACACGCTCACGTCACCCTCATAAGGTCACTGTTTATCTCACAGGACTTTAATACAACAGAAGCCATTGTAACGTACCAGCCACCACAGTTAATTAAGAACTACTGAGTATCTGTTTTTGTATAAAGACATTACACCTAAGTAAGGCAGAGTACAAAAGCTTCATAAAAAACCCTTCCATTTGCTTCCACCTTTACATCAGATTTATATGTACACGTACGTGCGTGGTCATGCACTGAAATTTTAAGCAAATTCAAGGAGCCCTCAGTATTTATTCAAGGAGCCCTCAGTATTTCATCAGCCTACAGCAGCAAGGTTTTTTTTTGTCTCCCTCCCTCACACTTGCACCTGGTCAGTATGTGTGACAGGCAATAATTAGTCCTGCAGCACTGACCACTTTTCTGTACAAAAAAAATGTTGGTTTGAATGGCATCTGATTGGCACTGCTGAGCGAGAACCACGAGCTCCCTGCAAGGGCTGGGCATTTCAGTTCACCCTTGGAAAGGCCAGAAATAAGAGCTTTTCAGGTCGCAACGTTTTTAGACACATAAAAGTGGTCTGCGGTCATATTTAGAGTTTTTAATGACCCTCACCATGCTCTCTGCAGCTCAGCTTGTGGCTTGGCAAGTGGAGAAAGGATGATCTTAAATAAAAGTGTATACTCCCAGTGTACGCACCAGTGTTCTGGGGCACAAAAGTTTCACCCCTGACTGCTTGGTACAGCCACAGCCAGACACTGGTGAGCAATGAAGACACAGCAACAACAACTGCAGCAATCAATGCACCCTACAGAAATGAACAGCACCGCGTGCCTCCCATCCCCCTTCTCATTCTGGCAAGTGAACACCGATGTCGGATGGCATTAGCGGCTGCCAGCTGGGCAAACGGAGCAAGTAGGTCAAGAGCATCACTCCTCCAAGAGTTTTCTTTGCTAAATATTGCGCTAACGACTGCATTATTGCTCACCAGACCGAGGTTCTGAAACTGGTACTAAAAATACCCTTCCTGTGATAGCGGAGGTCAGGTTTTCCATCCTGAGATGGTTCACATTGAGCAAAACTACCTATTTTTGATAAAATGCCTTTTGATATTAAAATCTGCACTCAGGCCTGTCCTGATTGCAGAAGCAGCCTTCACCAGAACAGTTATTACAGTTGGGTAAAAACAAATGACTGAAAACCATATATTAGGCACTTACAGTTTAGAAAAGCTCTAACGGAGATTTAACGGACTTACTCTAAAGAATTCTTTGGTTGAGCCTGAATCCAAAGTGCCGTAGGCTATTTCGGTTTGTTTAGCCAGGTCCTCTGCGCTCTCTATGGGAGAAACCATCCTTTCCACCGTAAGGAAGGCAGCAAGATTAGCAGTGTAGGAAGAGATAATGATGAGAGTGAAGAACCACCAGACTCCTCCGACAATTCGCCCTGAGAGAGATCTACGGAAAAACACACATCATCAAATTGCTTTGAAGACATTCCTTGATTATTTTTTTGTTCTTGTTGTTGAAAAGAAAATTCACATGCACAACCCTTTTGTCCAGATCCTCCAGTTATCTGTGAACAGGCGGACTGTGAGCCAGTCCCTGATGGCCCTCCTCAGGAGAGCACCTCAACGTGCAACTGGTCTTACCTATTAAAACTCTCTCTCTAGTCTTTCAGTGAAAACAAGGACACTCAATTAAGAAACAATTCATCTGAGCCAACTCCATCAGAGGCTTAGGGAGGAACAAATTCTCCTGACTTCCACAGACCCTTTGCTGGGGAAGTCTTTGCCAGAAGACTTTTGTCTTCTCTGCTTGCCCAGCCTTTCCCCGAGGCTGGATTTGCCTGCTGCCATCTGCTGGCACCGTGTCCCTTCGGAGCCGCCCAGCTCGGAGGACACGAATGTGCCTTTACTGCATTGACTCTCAAAATGTAAGATGTAGTAAAGCACAAAAGGGAATCCCAGTAAACATGCAAAGGAATAAACCAAAAGTGATCCAGTATCCTCCTCTCATCACAACCTAGCTGGAATTACAGATTGAATCTGCATATTGAAGTGAGGAGAGAGGCTGGTTTGTTAATTAAAATTTGCATGTTGCGCTGTTCCAAGTCAAGTATTCCTGCTTTATAACCACCGGAGCAGCAGAGAAGGAAGCGGCAAAAATGTAATTGTGTTTTGGTTTTGTTGTGTTGTTTTTTTTGCTTTTTAAAAGGATACCACAAGGACTAAAAAAAAGCTTATTTGTAATACATATAATTCCAAAATGCCTAGTTGTCAGGAGGTCGAGACCCTGTCAGTAAGAGCTCTTGATGCTTTAAAGCAAGTGAACATCAGGCTCAAAATATTTATTTGGGGCTGAAGGATGCCAACGCCTCGCCGCTCAGCGGGGTGGGGAATTTCACCCCCATGTACAGTGCTCATCCTTCAAACACAGCATGTTGACCAGGAATCATTTTAGGAGCCGAGACAAAACCATTTCATTTGTTTTCCTTTAACTCTACTGATACCAGTGGAGGAAGAATCAATCCCAGATACATTAAATCCGTGGAATCTGGGTGCTGTAGTCCTCAGTTCGTGTGAAGAAATAGAAAGCAAGAAAACTCTTACCTGTTTATTTGTTTCCTTCAAGCCCCTCTGTGCCATCCCCAGACAGTGGGTACAAGTTGTCCTACCAACAGATGAAGACAGGAAAAAAGCAAAAGTCTCGTGATGTGCCCCCACCCCACCCACAGAGGGAGTCAGCTGGTAAACTGCCTAGTCCTGGCCAGAGCCTGAGATTGCCCAAGCAAACTAAAAAAATCACATTAAATTATTAAGAAAAAAAGAAAGAAAGAAAAAAAATCCATCCAACATTAAAGAACACACCAAAGAAAAAAAAATGGCCAAGACAATAAAAACAGAGAGAGCAATCTGGAACAGGTTGGAGAAATGTGGAGAAAGAAAGTACAAGGTGAAACACTGCTGTTCTCCACTCCCCTCTGCCCAAGAAACTGAAGCAGCAGCTCCCACTGAGATGGGATGCAGGCTGGTTCCTCTGGATCACGGCACGCACCACCTGCCAGCGCCGTCAGCACCCCAGCAACGGCTGCATCAAGTCCACACCAAGGTGCAAGGCGGTTCGGGTGGTTACAAAGCTTAGGGCAGCTTCAGGAGTGAAGCATCACCTTTCTCCATCAGCAAGCAACGACTTTTAAGGTGTGAACTCTGAGAGACACGGCCACTGCTCCGGCCTGCGCGTGCTCCCTCGGGGCAGGCATACATCCGACAGATCGCCGACCAGCGGAGGAGGCTTCCCTGCCTTTCTTGAGGGCCTCCCAAGGGGATAAAAGGCTTCCAAGTTTCAAGTTGGGCTGTGCCACAGCTGTGCTTGCTAACAGAAGGCTACTGAGTAGCTGCCAAGGTAAGTTGAAAAAATATAAATCCAGAATAATGCAGTAAGTCAAGGGATCTCTCTGCCTTGCTCTACGTTCTTTGTAGGTATCAAGTGAGTATCTTGGGATTTTACAGATGGCTGAAGTCCTTTCTTGCCAGGTCCCTTACCAGTTAGGATGTTAGCTTTAGCTGCTTTGTAAAACTTGAAATCCTACACACCAAATCAGCCTCTTACACAAGCTGACATCATTTAACCAACTACAAAGCAGTGCCTGCAGAACTCATCACATAAAGCTCCCTTTGGAGCCAGTGCAGAGAAAGAGAGGAGACAGACACCCTCAGAGAACGATGTCACTGGCTGTAGCGTGGGGTAAGTCTGAAGGTGCACATCTGTCTCATGACTTTGCAGGGAACTAAGATGCCTAAAACTCAGACTATTGCTTTTAGATGGCTACGTCAGGTGAAATTTATCTCCTTTTTGTTCATTCCTTCACTACGTAATTTCCATCTTCAGAGAAGACCTGGAGTTGAATTCCTCCTCCCTGCAGCCAGGTGGACAGTTTCAGAGCCAGAGCGAGCAGAAATCTGGCTAGCAGGTACAGCAGATGAAACATCCACTTGCATAAAGCAAGACTAGCTTTATCTGGGGCTTCCAAATTTCCATGACCTTCTTGCTTTGCAGTAGGTCTTGAAATAGGAAGATGGAAAAAAGACTTGCCAGGGTGTTTAGATAAGTTCAATGGATATATTTGGAAAAAAATAGTATATGTTCATTCTCTCAATAGTTTTCCACAGGAAATATCTGTCTTGTATTGGTAGCTGCCCCTTCTGTTAGCAGGACAGATGGGTTGCTGGGATGAAGATGTACAGAAGACAAGCATTTCCCAAACCAGTGAAACCTCAAGCTCACACTGCTGTAACAATAAAAAGCCTGTGTTGAGCTGCGTGCTCATACAGCACACTACACACAGAGAAAGGTAAAAATGTCTTGCCCCAGAGATCTTGCAACCTGCATGAACCAAGTCAGACAGATACAGGACAAAAAACGGAGAACAGCTGAGAGGCAGGAGAAGGTGGGCATGGCTGGGTCCCTTGACAAAGGCAGCACTTCCTCGAGGGTCCTACATGCAAGAAAGGGGTCTTACTAGATGAGGACCAGAGCTTTTCTCAGAAAAGTTGAGGTCACTTGAAAGAAAACTGGATTTCACTACAGAGTTGCTTCTCCCAGAGTCTTCCAATGAGCACGAAACGGAAGATTGAATAGCTGCTACTACGAAGCAGACTGGGCTGCCATAGCTGTAACTGGGGGTAGCACAGGATGGGGCAAAAGAAAAACAAAACAAACCAAGAAGCTGACACTGAAGGAAAGACAGACAGAGTCGAAGAACAAGAACACAGATGAGTGTGGCCTGGCAGCCTCCTTGTCCAAAGGACCCCGGTTCCCCCCAGTCCATCTGCTGATTCGAAGACTCCTTATACCCACTGCAGGGGCTGGTGTAGAGGGATGCGGGAGAAAAAGGGTTAGTACATAAACACCGGGCTGGTAATTAGAGAATATTTGTATGGTTTGTACTGTGAACCACAGAAATGTTGGTCCATTACTCAGATAATAATTATAGAAAAATCAATCACAGCTTTTCATACCAGCACCACTTTCCCTGATGAAGACATACCTGTCCAAATGCGCAGTGTTGTAATTCAAAAACAAATAACTAATGCTTTATCCCAACATGTTGTTTTCCCAATTACCTCAATAAATAGATGCTTTGTATGACATTATTTTAAAGTGAATTAGCAAATGAGAGGAGTAACAAGGCCCTGGAATAACAGAATTATAACTCAATTATCAAAACAAGGTCAGATGGTGTTTTCAAAAGGAAGTAAACAGGAAGAGTGCATACCTTGAGAGGAAATTTAAAAGGAAGCATGGAGTCAAATGAGAGCAAATTAGTAACAAGAGAAAAAACAAAATAAATATTCAAATTCACATTCAGTTTCTAGGAAAATAATACATTTGAACAAAATCTCATTTATTTACCAAAATAGCTTGAATTTTGTTTCTACTCACAGCCATAAAACATACTTGATTTCCTATGGCACACAGAAACAAAAAGCTTCTCGCACTACTCCGTTTTTAACTGGGCTCTTCTGATGGATACAAGGCGGCTGCTACATTAACAAACCACCCTGAACAGCTTTGCTGCAAACTCTCCTTGTCTCGAACCCCTCCACACCCTGCACCCACGTTCCCTGGTGCCCACGATGCTGCCAGCTGGGTGCCCTGCTCACGCGCCCGGCCAGCCCGCTGCCGGTCCGGCCAGCGGCCCTCGCCTCCGCTCCAGACAGAACACAATGAACAACAGCATCTGAAGCGCTGACTTGAGATGCTTCCATCACGGGAACTGGCAGTGGGAGTTTCCGAAAGACCTAGTTCCTCGGCTCTCATTGCTACTTTGAAAGTCCCACAAAGCCATTCCCATGGCCTTTAATAGGAGTCTCTTGAGTCTTCTGCTGTGGAAATAGGGATCTAGAAATACAGCCTCTCAAATGACCAACCTCATGAGATAATTTTTAATGAAACCCCTGTCTTTTTCCATCAGCAATTAATTAATCTAGCCTCTTTGTCCCACATGAATAAAGAGCAAAATGAAAATACATGCTCTCATAGAGATTTCAAAGATACTTTCGCTCGGAACAGTGTTACAAATTTGACTGTGTTTTCTCCTGGTTCCATGTGCTGTACACATCTTACATTAAAGCAAGTCTAATAATCTACTTTTGATCCATCAAAAGTGAATTTTCAATGCTTTAGCTCACTATGCAGAGAACACAGCAGCCTTTGACAGCAGAACAAAACTGCTGGAACAAATGTTGATTCCATCAAGGGATGCACTAACCCCCGTCCTTTGGCCGCTATCTGATTCCGTTTAGATGACTCCTATTAAATACAGAGAGGAGAGTATAGGGATATATCCTCTGGAATATCCACACAGCATACTCACCGAGGATAGATCTAACTAGTCATTAGATGTCACAGCTGTTCCACACAAAGGCAGCTGAAAGAGCCTTTATCAGCAAGTACAAAAGTGATCTCTCCAGACTGCTTGTCGGCATCTCTCTACAAGTGCTGTACGCTCTCATATAAGAAATTTATTCAGACAAAACTCACAATGGAAGAATGAAGCCCCTTTTAATGGCAATAAAATAGTATGAAACATTCATATAGTCAATGTACTGTGAATGGCGTAACCTTACAAAGATACGGATTCAGAATGGAATACTTGGGAATAGTCCCTTCTACGGAAAAGAAATTTGACATTCAATCAACTTAAATAAACATATCAGTCGAAGGAACAGTGTTTCTGGAATTTAAACCAAGGTATTAAATTTCTCTCTCTTTTTTTTTTTTTTTTTTTTTCAGTAACAACGCATGTACCTGCCTGGAATCTGTTATCATGAAAGATAACAAAATAACTGGACAATGCCTTCAAACGAGGGCTATGTATTAATACTGAGCTAATAGCTTCTGATGGACAGATAAAATAAATAGCTTTACTGCTGTCTCTTTTTTTTGGGGTAAGTATTTCCGAGGCACTTATCCTGGTAGTATTGAAAAAAAAACAGAATATGTTCTACTTGTTATATAAGGTAAATGGCTGAACATGTCAAAGAGTCACATGAGAGATTAACAAAAATCCTATGCACTTCTCTTTACTGTCAATAAACAGACCTAGCGGAAACAGTACAATGCCTGCAGCTTTCCATGTGATGTCCCAGTGCTTATTTCCCGGTCCTTTATATTGGGCACACACATGGTCAACAGCAATTTAAATGTTATCACTACTCATCCCCTTTAACAGCAAGCAGAGAGGCAAAGTTTCAATACAGAATTTAGGAATAAAGCAGGAACGCGGTGTGTAAACAGGAGGAGAAGGCTCACAGCTGTAAGTACAGAGTGAGGCGGACAGGGATAACTGCGAAAACTAACGCAAGGTCACAGCGAGGCAAAAGCATGTGCGTGTTTTATGTAGGATATATATGTGTCTGTCAGTAAGTATGAAATTGAACTGCTGCTGTCAAGACTCTTAAAACATATGCATGACTTGCATCAAACACTAACAGGCATATGCCAGTATCTCTGAAAGTCCTGGATTTCGCTGGGATCACTAGGAGATTGGAACGTGCAATGACTGTGAACTTACAGGATCATTATTACATTTTAACAGGTAAAATCATTATCCTTTCCATGAAACTTCACACAAGTTTTGTCACTTGCTTCAGTGAGGCTACTCCAGCTCCCTGCCATTATACGGACCAGGAAAACCTGGCAACATTTCCAAGATTCAAGTATTGAAAAAAAGCACACAAATATGGAGATCGACAAGGTGTATTTCGAATGTAAGTGCCTAGTTAGAAAAGATCTCTCTTGTTTTAATTAGCAACCTTGTTAAAGGGAAAAATTGCATCCTGTTTGTACTAAGCAGGTATTTTTAATAATTAAAATAGCTGTAAACTGGTTATTAAAATATTGTCATACAAAATATAACTAGTGGTCCATCACTAAGAAACTAGATAATTTTACTGCTTATCACAGGCACATCACCAAAGTATTTTACCAGTGTAAATGCAGAAACATCATAGATATTATTCAAAAAACATGTGTGGTACGCATTGTTCAAGTAGAGGGAGCTTCACTATTCTCAGGTGGTTTTCAAAACGCTTCTTCAAAAAAGAAACACAGTTCTACAATAGTTAATTTCTACAATAGTTAATACCTGTGCTCTCTGTTAAATCGGAATCGGTATCAAACACGTTTTACCACAGCCTTATTCAGAAAGACTGTCTTCATGAATCAGAAAGAAACCTTTATGGAAACTGGCAATGCTTTTTAGACCATATTGACTACGTACACAGGGACAACAGATTAGACTGGACTGAAATAACGATACACATACAGGGTGGCAATAACTGTCAGAGGGGCACATACGGAGACCTGAACGAACATATGACAGGCGGTGGTAAGCAAATTACTAATAGATGAAAGGATGGTTCAAGAAGAACAGAACTAGAGAAATTAGGCACAAAACAAAGTAAAAAGACTAGCAAAACCATGATGGGAGTGGAGGCGTTTTAAAGTGCTGTTGCATGTGACTTTTTAAAAATAATTCTTATTTTGCAAAGCAGAATGTTATATGCACCAAGGAGATGACCGTAAAATGAGATATGCAGCAAAAACACGGTAGCCCTCCAAGCATTGCTGAAAACAGAAAACCCTATGCATTTTACAGCCTCAACATGGTGTATATAAGTTTGGCAGAAATGCATAAACGGCATTCTAAGGCAATGCAAATCACTCTGGAGGTTAATGTTAGCAAGCATGGTGGCTTGATGATGATGCTTAGCATTGAACGGAATGTCAAAACAAAAATTTGGCATTAAAAAGAAATTTGAAAAAGTAACATATATGCACCATGGCACCAGAAAATGACCATAAAATGCAAAAAGGTGATGGAGTGATATGGAACAAACCTTGGAGAAATATCGCATCCTTGCTGCATAAAGGCACCCAGGGAAAACCAAAGGCTGTTAAATATTCCAAACTCATTTGGAGGGTCGGGAGGATTCTGAGGGTCACGTGGTTCTTCACTGCTGTCTTCCAAGTGCCATTCATAAGGGCTGAATCTGCTGACTAGGAAAAGAACTACGCTGACGCCAATGTAAGCAAAGACTATACACATCCAAATTTCATAAGCCAAAGGATCCAGGAAAGAGAATACGCCCGGTTTAGATTTCTGAGGCTTCTTGATCATGATGGAGATGCCCAGGCTCATAAAGGGTTTGGAAAAGTCTATGACTTCTTCTCGCACCAATGTTATGGTGAGGGGGGCAACAGCTATATCTGCTCTCTGAAAAGGGAAAACAAACCCAAGTTAGTTACAAAACGGGTGCAACATTCTCACAATCTAGAGCCTCAGGCTAATGAATCAGATGATAAATCACAAAAGCGAGTAGGAAACGTTTTTTTTGCAGACTATTTTGCAGTCATTGGAGTTAAGAACTACATGATATTGATAGAAAAATATTAACAAGAAAAATTACAACCAAATCTGTGCAAGAGCCTCAAGACAGAGGCAGATATGTACCAATGTGTATTTGTTTATATTAAGTTAAAATGGATGAATAAACACTACGCAAACTGGACAGTGCGATGGCAGCTAAAACGATGTCATTTTCTAGTAAGGGTCTGCATCCACCCATCTGCCTTGAAGACTTTGGGCATATTATATGTTCGTTGTATTTTAATTTTCTCTTTACTATTCTTTCAGTAAGTTCTCTTGCCTTACTGATCAGTCCAGGATCTTGAAAAGGAAACTAAGAGTAGTAATCAGTCACTGAATTTCAGCTGTATTTGGGTGCTACCACCCATATACTCCTTTGAAACCCCTTTGCAATAAGGGATAAAAGATGGTAAAATCGTGGGGTGATAGGAACCAGACAGCCCACCCTTTCTGTGGTCACTGAAGAACAATAATACAGATTCGTGAGTCCCTGAGAAGTAAATAGCCCAGGTTATCTGAGAAGAATGCAAAGTAGTATTTTTCAGTATGATGTCTGCTATCCTATCGTACAGAACTTAGCTCTATAGATCAGTAACACAGACCATGCACTGGGGCTGTGCCATCTGGAAGCACAATCTCACCTCATTGCATCTATCATTCACCAGCGTGTTGGTACACCCTGAACCAATACCCCTTCCCTTCAATCAATACATCTTTGCTGGATTCAATGGGAGGGTAAGAATGTGAAGTATAAAAAATGACTTAAGTTACCTGATTAAAAATAGCATTCCAAAATGGGTTTTCAAGATATTTAGTTGTATCTATATTTCTGTATCAGAAAAATTCAAGTCATGCTGTTTAGATAACCTAGCCTTGATTCAGCCAAACACTCAAGCAAGTGTCAGCATTTGCAACAGAAGGAACTAGAATGTTAAGAAAAAAACCCTTTAATTATTATTATTATTATTATGAGAATCTACACAGCTACATACACTTTTTATAATCTTCTATTTTAAACACTTGAACTATTAATGTTATTGATACTTTTAAGGATGGCCTTTTCTTGGTAATTAAGAATTTCAGAAAGGAAAAATGACTCTTAGGGAAAGTTTATCTTACCAGGACCTAACCCACTGTGCACCTTTTAAATCAGATTTTTGTTTCCCACTAGTAAGCATGTATCTCTTTCTGGTGGAAAAATAAAACCTGATTAAATAGAAGTTTGAATAAAAGTTAATAGGAAATGTTAATAAGAAGTGATTAAGATCTGTGCCATAAAATAACTGAATATGCCTTTATGTAAATCTGGTGGCTATGTACGTGACTTTCATTAATATTTGACTTGTTCCTCCTACCAGATAGTTGATTTGTTTGGGTTTTTTTTAAAGTTTAATAAGCAGAAACGGCAAAGGCTTCTCAGAAGTTAATCTCAGTATCACATGCTGATAAGTGCCTGAGGCACCTTCTGGATGTTCCAAGGCTGAGGCTCAGGGCCGACCCGTCGGACCGAGGACTGGCCCTTCCCATGGCAAGGCTTGCTCCACCCAGTACCCGACTGCACACACCACCTCTAGATCTGCTCCAGGCACTCAGGAACATCTCTGAACGGTTTGTACTGGCATGTGCCATTACGGGGGATGTGTACAAGTTCACTGCTTGGAATAATCAAATAACCCACGCCTGTGTGCATACAGAAGCCATTCGAAGATCACTGCCCTTGGTGTACCCGCTCAGAGCCCTCCTCAGCCCCTTTAGACATGCATGTGTCCTCCGACACTGCCTCTCCCCTTGAGCAATTCCTCAAGGAGAAAACCCTCACCTGATTCGGGGTCACTTACTGCAAAAATCTAGCTTAACGTGGCTTGAATACAAAAACTGAGAATGCCGGTGGCCTTTGGGTGCCTGGTGATTACTGGCTCTGCAGATCAAGGTGTTTATCATGGAAGTAATAGAGAGACTTGGGGGATACAGATGAAGTGTGGTAAAGAGACTGGATGATGCTGGAACTTGTTCACCAATAAATTACCCCCAAATATGTATTTGTCTGTGGCTGCTGCATGTTGAGTTACTGTTAAATATTCGATGTTTGCAGTCAGTAAGTATGAGATACACACGCAGCATCGGTTTTAACTGTAGTAAGAGTCCATGCCTGGCTGGAAGACTAAGCACTCTGACCACGGCTACTGTGTTTTGTGTTGAACTAATGGGGTACTTACAAATTAATCCTTATTAGAGCAAGCTTAATGGATCAGGACCCCTGGAGAGACTTAGCAATGGTTCCAAATGAAGTGAAGCTTACTTAGGTGGGAGGCGGGTGCCTTATTGCCCAGCACTTCTGCACGTGGACAGCCAGCCTTGGAACAGCTTGAGGTAGGAAAAGGCTGGTTCAGCTATAAGAGCATTTACTTTCTGTAGCATTTTCCTGGACTTGGAGAAATTTAATTCTCCCAAAGTAATATTTTAATTGCCAAAGTAGACACGGTGGAGCTTTTCCTAAGTGCTGATGCAGCGTGCAATAAAGTCTGTATCTCCCTCACGAGCAGCTGAGTTCATGCAGGATGTTCCTGTGGGGTCTTTGGGAGGATGAAGCTGATGCTGTGCTGGAGCACAGACAAATGGTTTTTAAAGGCCTGATTGTTACCATGTCCTCATTCATATCATACAGTACAGCTTTCTTTGTAAATCACTTATAATTGCATTTTAGTATTAGAAAGGATACAGATACTTAGTTTTCTGACACATTTCTGTCTTCCTGCTTTCCTACTATTTTTGATAGGCATTCAATAGATTGGAAACACCAACAAACACCCTCATGCTTTAAATGAATATGGCAGCAATTGTTTTCTGCAGAGGGAACAAGCACGGGTTCAGCCACAAAGCGTCAGGAAACCATCAACAACCAGGGCACTGAGAGTGGACCAGCTACAACCCAGCACCTGAGCCTGGTTCCCCATCACTTCCCTGAATATTAGTTACACTAGGGAGGTTAAAATCAGTCGGCTCTTTGCTTATCTATTTAGAGATATAGCATTTGAAATGGAGAGCTTATGGAGAGCTCTAAGCACCCTAAAGGATCATTAATAATTGCAGCATGGTTGTGAATTTCCCTCCTTATTATGGCTGCAGATAAGCAGAACCCATAAAAATTGAGCTCGACTAAAAAGAACACAGCCACAACCATGCCCTTCCCTGTGCAGAACTGGAGGGGGTTTAAGAACCTCACCAACTAAGCTTTGCTAATCACTCATGACTAATGGCGTTTCAAACATCATCTTCACTGCATTTGAGCTGGGTGAGAAATGTCACAGATTCCTCTGAGGCTTGTTCTGTCTTTGCCTACTAGTGTGGGAGGGACAGATTTAGAGAGGACATGCAGCACAGAGGCGCTACCCGCTCCCTTCAAAGCTGACCCAGGGGGTTGCAAACCTCCAGACTCTTAAGGGAGGAGAAGAAAAAAAAAAGCAAATGGAAATATCCCTCTGCATGGAGAAAGTAAAAGGATAAGATGTTCCACCTCTGTAATCCAAAAGGAGGGATTGAATTATTCAGCTTGCAGACCTGAAGATAAGTCTTCCTAACTTCAAAGCCATGCACTAGAGAGAGCAAGAGACACCAGCTATGCTCCTGCCTGTACGTGCTGCTGGCCATTCACGCTTGCAGAACGAAACAATTTCTTTGCTAATGTGTCACTTTTTGCAACGTGGGTCTGGGCTATGGTCACTTTGCAAGACCTTTGTGTGATGGGAAGCCAGCCAGCACTCAGATCATTGTGCAGATTGAAGCAGAGGGACACTGCCCCATTTCCATCGGGAGCCAAATCTCCAGGCACTCCAGAAGTGCTGAATGCAGGTACACAGCAGCGCCAGAAGAGACTGTGCTGGAATGATGACTGACTCTGAGCACATTTTAGGACTTCTCAGTGGAGTCTGAGGTTTCCAGATATCAGAAAATGGTGTCAGAGCAACACATCACCTGTGATATCTGCTGGAAAAGCTACCTTGTAAAGACAGCCCGGTATATCCAAGGATGTCAGCATGTGTTGAGAGGCCAGGTCATGGGGGCAATGTGTTTTTAACACATTAGCTCACACTTATTTAAAAACAAGAGTTGATATCTGACGAGCCACCTGCTGCATTGAAGTCTTAATGTGTATTAGCTGAGCAGTGTAAAAAGGTACTGAGATACCCACAGCTCCTTCTGAGATGCTACCACTGTACGCAGATGGAGAAATCTGCTTTTTGAGACGTACGCGCGCTTCCCCTGCCTGTGCTCCGGCGCAGGGCAGCTGCAGGCTGGGACCGCACCGGTGTGGCCCCGTGCCAGGGCTGCGGTCCCATGCCCGTGCGGTGCGGTGCCACCGTGGCTCAGCAGCTGCCCGGTGCGGGTACAGGACATTCCGCCTGCGCCCCGGGGCAGCGGCACCGTCCAGCTGCCTTCGGGCACTTGTACCCGGGCACCTCTCCTGCAGAAACCAGGGATGAGGGGTGACGGGCGAGCTTCTCCCTCTCACAGCGCAGTGGGGTGCTGCCACAGGCTAAAAGCACATGGGATGTTTTGAAGAGAATTAGGAATCGAGTTAGTCTTCCTCTCTGCTACGACTCAAAGGCTGTATATGCCATCTGTAGTCTTTCTGCTGATGCCAGGAGAGCCAGAGGCCAGCAGTAGGCATGGCTGGTGAGCCTGTTCAAGGCAGGGAGGTGTGTAGGTGGTCCCACTGACAGACGGCAGAGGCTGTCTGTCCTTTACACCCCTGCTTTGTTCCTTTATGCTATTTTACACATCAAGAGGTTTTTATACAGACCTTTTTTTCACCTGAGAAGAGTTTTAAAGGCTGCAGGGTCTGGCTGCTCCTTCCACTCCCAAAGCATTTGTAGTTACAATTAAGATCTGTGTTAAACCTACTGTCCAGGAGCCTCAGCAATGTGAAAAGCATCAGGGCCGGCGAGGGAAGGCTTTCCCTGGCTGAGCAGCACAGGAAGAACAGCAGCCTGCTTCAAAAAGGAAGGAAGAAATAAAAGCCTACAGAAAGAGGCTTACCCTACAGAAGAGAAGAGACGATTGTCCAGCGCTCAGCAGCTGGTGGGTACGAAGCCCCGAGCACCAGGCGGACGCAGCGGGAAGTGCTGCTGCTCAGCGGCCCCAGTGGAGGGCACGTCAGTAGCGGGGGGATCTCTGGAGGGCAGCACTCGCCTCGCTGGGCTGCTTTGCTGGTTAGGGTTAAGTAGTGATTTGGTCTCCCAGACTGAGAATGATTTAGCTAATTCCCTCTTCTAAAATGTCCAGCTTTACCCATTTTCTATTTTTTATTCTGTCAAAAGTTTCCACTATGTTTTAGAAATGTCTCTTAGCTTAAAAAATAACAGTGCTTGAATTAGTAGAGTTAAGGGTCTTATTTTGACACCATCAGAGTGAAAAAGCAAAATTAAGGTTTCCTCCAACCCGAACTGCTGTATTTTGATTTGTGAAAAATCAAATAATTTCCATTTTTATGTCAAATTTTATTATTATCATTATTAAATATTATTACTATCACTACTACTACCACCACCACCACCACCATTTAAAAAACTGCTAACAAATCACAAAGCCTTGTTAGCTTCTCTCTAACAAGACTCCTGGGTTCTCCAGTCTGAAGCATCGAAGTTTGGGAACACCTGCTCGGCCAGAACTCCCTGCCTCCAGGGCTGCTGTCCCTACGCTGCCCAAGAGTCAGTCCTCCGTACCCGGTTTCATTTGCACAGCCCATGGCAAAGCTACACGGAAAGGTCCAAGAGGGTCAGCTGAGACCGTCCTGGACACTGGAAGCCCCTACAGCACAGCAGAATTTTACGCCCTCCAAGCAGCCCTGATGCGGTATGAGACAGGGGAGGGAGAATTCCTAACGGGAAGTATTTCAGTGTGTCTATTCCCAGGCAAGGTGTAACTCTGGGGACTGTCCCAGTCAGCCCAGTTAATGCACACCTCCGGTAGTCTCCTGCCAGAGGCAGGGCTGTGCCAGTCAGCCTCAGGACACGCAGTGCTGTGACACAGCACCCCTGTTTTGGGTTTGGGTGCAGCTCAGTGCACACTGACCCCCTCCCATCCCACCCTCTCCTCACCACTCAGAGCCCTCCGATGTGGGAGCTGGAGGCTGCAGGGACCCGGCTGCACTTTCCTGACTCTACGCTGCATCCCACAGGAAGCAAGAGAGACAGTCACACTGAACTGGCACAAACTAAACATTAATTACAGTTAATTAGGGTTTTGGCATTAAGATGACAAGCCATTCACTTACTATGACTGTCCTAAGAGCAATTTTAGAGAAGAGTTGTATGCGTGGGGCTATGCAAAAAAGGGCACGGTATTCAGAAAGCCTGGTAAGACTTCCCAGCAGTGCCAGGTGGTGGTGAGAAGCTTATTGGGTCAGGAATATGCTGTATTTGACAAATGACTAGTCACTGTTTATCACTTGAGACAAATGCAATCTAAAAGATTGTGTTTCATGCCACAGCTCAGTTCAGCTGCTGGATAACTGGTACCAAAACCAATCAGGCCCCTTTTATCCCCCCATGCCTGCCTTCCATGCATGCTAATAAAGGCATTTAAAATCTAATCTCCCTCTTGTCTTCCCAAAATGGAATCCAGAGGAGCCAAATATGACAGTCGTTTTGCAGAGGAGGCTCACAGGGGCATTAGGGGTAACGTACAGTTTTAGTTCCCTAATAGAGTTTTAAGCCCCTGAGAGATAAAGGAAAGTCAGCACGTAAATGAGGCACTTGCTCCAAATAATTAGCACTTCTAGAGCACTTTTCATCTTCAAAGGGCTTTGCGCACATCCTTGTGAGTGTGGTACGCAGCCCCCTCTCAACAGATGGAGAAAGAGGTCAAGGGTATTTCATGGTGTTTGCAAACAGGGCTGGGAAAGGGTCTGGAGGGCTGGTGAGGTTTGTACTCGGAGTTCAAGGGCTCTTTTCCCTGCCTACAGAAAGCCAGGTGGATTTCTGCACAACTTGCCAGTGCAGTAGCTCAGCTCGGCAGGACGGGGAGCTGGCTCAGCAGCGCCGGGCTGTGAGCATTAACCTGGGTCTACAGTCAAACCTCAAGGGATGCATTTGACCTTTGAATAATTGAGTACTGCAGTGAAGAGGCTTCAGTAACTGAGCTCGCCGCATGAGAAGAGGAGCTGTTGGGGGTCAGGGAGGGAAACATTCCTCAATTCTTCATTAATGAGAAAACACAGATGAAAACTCTGCTTCAGAACACAAAGGGACGGACCTTTTTGCAGGGGAAAAGGACAATGGAGGGGTGGATTTGGGGTTGTTTTAAGCTATGGTCTATGGTGCCTATGAGGCTGATTTTTGCTGGTGCAGAAAGGTCACAAGTACAGTTGGGTCAAGGGGAAGTGGCTAGGGCTCAGTTTGACGCTAAGGGGGCACAGCTCTCCGAGCCAGGCTTGTCCTAAGGGGTTGTGGAAAAGGCAGCTGCAGCCAATCTGCTTATCACAGAATCATGGAATGGTTTGGTTTGGTAAAATCATAGAATGGTTTGAGTTGGAAGGGACTTTAAAGGTCATCTAGTCCAACCCCCCTGCAATGAGCAGGGACATCTTCGATTAGATCCGGTTACTCAGAGCCCGTGTAACCTGACCTTGAATGTTTCCACGGATGAGGCGTCTACAGCCTCTCTGTGCAATCTGTTCCAGTGTTTCACCACCCTCATAATAAAAAAAATTCTTCTTTTTATCTAGTCTGAATCTACCTTCTTTTAGTTTAAAACCATTACTCCTTGTCCTATCGCTACAGGCCCTGCTAAAAAGTCTGTCCCCATCATTCTTATAAGCCCCCTTTAAGTATTGAAAGGCCACAGCAAGATCCCCCGGAGCCTTCCCTTCTCCAGGCTAAACAGCCCCTACTCTCTCAGCCTGTCCTCACAGGAGAGGTGTTGCATCCCTCTGACCATTTTTGTGGCCCTTTATCCAAGCAAAGGCTGGGTTGAAAGAGGAAAATGGCTCATAGATGGATCTTACATCATTTAGCAGCTGCACAGGCTAATCTTACTTGGCTCAAGTCCCAAAGGCACTGGCCCATTCTGGTGTAGATGGTCCCTCTGCCCTGGCTGCTAGCAGTAATTTCAGGTTCTCTTTTGTCATGCCTTTTGTGTACGGTATGATTATTTTTTAAAGTGAATAAACTGTTTCATTGCTTGTTAATAGCAAATATATCAAAAAGACCCAATTACAGCTAATATTCTTGAACCACACACAGGGAAATGGAGGGTTTAGGTTTCCACTGCAATGTAATTACGCTTGGATCTGAACTAAACCTTTGCTTCAGAGGTTCTTGATGTACTTGTGTTCTTTAAGAGAGGCAACAATGGTTTCCCAAATTGTGTAACTGAGGCATGGGGAGTTCAGAAGATTTGCATAATGTCAAACCTCAGTGCAACAGGGAAGTGAAGATATAACCCAGGGGTCCAGACCCCCATTTACTTTCTCTAAACAGTAAATTTCCCTCCCTTCCCTTAATACAACACTACAAAAACACTGTTGCTTATATAATTTTGAACAGGCAAAAGCATTTTGAAAGTATGTAACACGGCATCAGGACTGACTGCTCCAGAATAAGAAAACTTTTGCAAATCTAGCAATTACTTTAAAAAGACTGATTCATTTGAAAGGAATTATCTCACCAAACATTTTGTAAGAATGATGACATGTTATCCCAAGGAAATTTTGAGGTGACTTTTAGAAATTACACTTAGCCATGGAACAAAAAGAAGCAATGGAAATATTCGCTTCTGCTCAGATATTTTTAATAAAGGAAAGCTTGTTAAAAATAAACTGTAAAGAAGATTTGGGCGGAATCACAAATCATCTCATTAGCATTTTGGGGAAAAAAAAGCAAAGACGATATATCAGCTTGTAAAGCCTTTTCTGCAAAGCCAATTTTCTCCCCCTTCCATCTGGTTTATCTGTATTCCAAAATTCTTATTTTCAAAGAAGTTTCTAAAACGGCAGTTCCGGACTGTTTTTGTTCTTACTAAACAAAGCAATGTACACCTAATATAGAGAGGAATGCAATGAATTAGATTTTTTTTTTTTTTTTTGTCTGCCAGTTTATTTTTAAAGCCAAATCCAGGGTTTAAAAAGGAGAAAGATGTGGGCGATTTCCCACCTGCATTGCTTCTTACCCTGAAAAGCAATCATGGACCAACTGAGCTAAGTCTCTGGTCAAACACAAACCGACATGAGTTACCCAGCGAGGGCCAGCATCATAGGATCAGACCTTTAATGGCAGGGGCACTCCCCAGCACTTACAAGAGAAAAGGGAGACACAGCAAACACAAAAGCAGCATATGAAGGCCAAACTGCAAATTCTGCTGTAGACAAGAATTTGAAATTTGCCCAATGCCACTTCTCAGCTTTCTGTGGACTCCGACTTGGAGAACAGCAGTAAAAAAGTGACACTTTCCTGCAATGAAACAATTAGAAAAGTAGACTATAAAAATGGCACTACAAAGAAATATCTAGAATTTTAAAGGTGGTATTCAAACAGACGATCTTTATTTTGCAGTTTATTAACTTTGAGCATAACTTTTTATAAAGAACATTAAAATGAAGGTTAAGAGAAACTTACCCCATAGACCAGTTCACCCACCATGCCATTCCATATCTTAGTCTCAGGGTCCCTAGCTCCATATTTCCCATCTCCAACAATTGACAGTTTGTATTTTATTCCAACATGTTTTGCTATTTCAGAAGCTAAGTCTACACAATATCCTTCATATCTCTCATTCCCTTCTAGTTGTTCATGGTTTTTCTTATACATTACATATGGTGATTCCTTTGAAACAAAAGTAAAGATCAAAAGTCTATGAATGTAAAATACAGCTTTAAAACATACAAAATGAGAGCTGTTATTATCCTTTATATTACTGGCAAGTATTTACAATATTTCCTGCTTTGGTACAGAAATTTGAAAGACAAACTTTTGCAGTTTAATAATCCTTGGCTGATCCTACAGCCACACATACTATTGATTTTAATCCTAGTATGGACCCATTGAAGACAAGAGGACTATTTCACTTCAACAAAGTCACACTTTTGTTTGCAGGATTAGGCCTGATTAGACAGTCAAACAGCATCACTACTTAATAATTCAGGTTTTAGTGTTTAAAGAACCGACATACCCAACATCTGTACCATCAAAATTATTTCCTAAGGTCCCGGTGGCCTAGAATGGGGCTCTGATGGAGATATTTTCAAAGCAGTCTAAGGGAAGCTAGGCTAAAATCCTCAGCAGCAATTTTTGTCACTAAATTCCCTTAGCCTTCTTGGAAAATTCTAGCTGAAATGCTGATTATATCTTGCTAAATCCATAGGAGTATAAAATACAACGCTTCAGGAAATAGCATAAAATTGGCTCATGCTTAGTAGAACTGTAACAGGCATAGAAGTCACAAACAATACTGTACAGAGCACATCTGCTCGAGGCATTGGGACCAACACCGGTGCTGCTGTTTATGAGACACAGGAAGAGCATTACTCCTTTGGGATTGCATGGGCATAGGTCGCTTTCCGCCCAGCGCTAGAGCAGTTCCAGTTCTCTACAGGCTTCATTGTGCCACCCTTACTCAGTCCACAGGGGTTGAGTTTACAGGAGCTGTACCTGAGTGAGGGGTGCAAGATCTGACCCTAGAGCAGGAAGGCCAGATCCTGCAGGCATTTACATACATGCACAATAACGTCACTCATGTGAGGTGTTTGAGTTCAAGTGTCTGAGAAGCAGCAAAGCGCAACGTTGAGCTCAGTGAGCTCCTCCTGTGAGTAAACTTACTGATATGTATAGTAGTTTGCAGGGTTAAGCCCTCAGCACATCTCTGGAAACGCTGAACTTTTCAGTCACTTGAAGTCACAGAGTATTCAACATTTGCCTCCTGGCTCCTACCACACCTCAGGAGCCATGTGTCTTGTTTCCTAAACACAAACACACTAAGAACATAAAACTTACCAAGATGGTAGTGACTACTATAGTTCTGTTCTCCACAGATGAGGTGTCATTAGAGGGCAGCTGATCTAATGCTGGTACAAATCTTTCATATTCGTTCCAATAACCAGCCTGTAAAAACGGAGATTGTTACCTCATTACACATGTTTACAAGGACTCTGGTGTAGGAACTTTTTACAGGAACTGTCAAAACATATGGCTTTGTAACACTTATTCACGCAATGTTTTTGCCATTAAAGGACTACATTAGCTTCAATTTAATTTCCTTAAAGAAACAATGTTCTCGAGCCTGCATGCAACCAAACACAGGCTAAATCTAAGTGAAAATGCATATTAAACTCTCCCTAACTAAATTCACATTGCCATGGTGCCTGTGGAATAAATCCCAATGTATTCACAGCATGAGAATATACTATAGACAAGAAAATAAACTGCACAGCACTCTGAGTAAAATTCTTTCATTTTGGAATTTTTATCCATATTCTGTGGCAGTTTGGGCAGTGAATACAGCCCCTGCGGACATGCCTGAGCTAGCTTTAGAGTAGATGCACAGACATCATTAGCAATGCAGGCACAGTAGCATTACCTTCAGTATGGGATACAAAGCCCTCCGTGAGCATGAGGTGACTATTTGTCAGCTGGCATGTGCTGACCTTCGTGGTGCGGTGGCTCCGTTGCTATGCTCTGACACTATAGTCCGTGTACCTCTGCACAGCACAGAAGTAACACTTTTGTCTGCACTGTAAACCCAGATGAATGGCTGGGTCATGTCCAGAAGTATTTTGTTATCAAATACGTGCACAAGAGTTTAAGGAGTGTCAGTGGCGACTGAGCAGGTTGGGTACCTATCGCCAGGTGAAATCAGGGGGATTTACGTGCCTCGGCCACACACATTCTTCTCTCCATAATCCTGAGACCCTGTCTGCCTAATTATTTTTTAAAATCTGCCCTGAATTTCTTTTATAACAGGCATGTAGGCAACTATCCCACTTAGGATCTCTACTTTATAGAAGAGAAGAGAATGAGTAGCAAATCTCAATTAATAACAAACATTTTCTGTTACTTTGAGAAGGTTTCTAAAATACACTGGCTCCAGCTTCACTACTGCTCCGAGGCCTGTTACATAGACGAAGTGAAAGAGAGAGGAATTTAGGAGATGGGGCTGAGGACAGGAACATGACAGCAGGTATTATGCTTGGCAGTGGAAAAGCTCCAGAAGAGTTTTAAGGGAAAAAGTGAGGTCTGAAGTCGACATGGAAACCAATGAAGATACTAAGCAGGGTGAGTGGTTTGGTCCAGGAACAGAATAGAACAAGGGTCCTGGGATAGGGAAGACAGCAAGAAGGTAGGGTTTCCTCAGGGCCCTGTTATTACAGCGTCTCTGTGGCATTTTTGAGCTTCTTTAGTTTGTTGGAATAAATATTTGTGAAGATGTGAAATCTGGCTGCGTATCTTGAAACTCACCTTCCGTGATCCAGCGGCTTTCATCTCATACACATCAATTGTGTAATTTGTTCTCCGCCCATAGGTGTCGAACTGGATGTTCCCTGTCATTCCTTGAACTTGCACCTTAAGGGAATAAACAGAAAAAACATTTTAATAAAAGATTCACTTTATTCTTCCCTCCATTACATTTTGCAGGAACCCACTAGCTCTAGCACAATTTTTATATAGATAAGAGACTTGTAGCACTAGTTGTGTTCTTCATAACAAAACCAATCCCAATTCTCTCAGTTTCAGCTGTATGTTTTCTTTGCTGGTTAGTACTCAGCTGGTGACTCAATACCGCAGAGTGAGTTGCATTTAAGTAGAAGTGAAATTAGCCCTACACGTACGTTAAGTGTAAGAAAGACCGATTCTGCCATGCTTAGTCACACTGGGTTCACTGATATAGCACGGAGCATCAGTGAGGCACATGCAACAATTCAGTGCCATTAAACCCCTCACAATATGGCGCAGAATGATGTGCGATATGGACCAGAATCCCATATCATTGCTCGTTCCGAGAAGTGCTTTATTTTAAGATCAGTCCCAGCGTAGGAGAAAGGAATGAATGTCTTCCCTGAATGAGCACAGACAATTGTCTCTGCTGCTTATGGAGTTTTGGTCTCAATCTGGATGGACGGGTGTATAGACGGTAAGTCATTATCATTACCTACTCACATGAATCATCTTAAGGGGAAATATAAAGTACTTTGCTTCAAAGAAAAAATCTTTCTTATTTCCCTGTATGAAAGAGTGAGATACTTCCATTTATCAACACTTACAAGCTGTCATCTCAGGGAGAAGGAGTATCAGTCTGAAACTTCAGTAGGGGTAAATTAGCTTTAATATTTAGCAAAATGCAGTAGAAGTTACAAGAATAGGTGATGGAAGACTAGTCAAAGGGAAACTGTTCAGGGCTGGTGACTGATCTGCTATTTATGGTTTCGAGATGGTGCAATCAAACTTGTTACAGTGGAAAAGGCTACAATATTCCTTGGACCCCAAATTATCCAGTGAGTCAAATTCAGACTGACAGATAAGGAGTGTGATTCTTTTTATCAGTAAGTGGATTTGAACCTTTCTTAAAATAGTTAATATCTTTTCAGGGGTCTAGAAGAACATGTGAGTTACTCCTGTCTCCAGAAAGCTAGAGAGGTGAATGGGACTTTGAAAGCCAAATTTGCCCCTAAGAGGTTTTATCAACTGTGGACTGAGCAAATACATTTGTAGGGTAGCTGACATATAACTTGCAGCCAGATGTGCGCTGCTGAGCCTGCTTTTGGCACTCGCTGGAAGCTGTCTGGCTACCTTAGCACAGCAGTGACTGTGTGTCTCAGCAGAGCTTGTTAGGCTGGCTTCATCCTGATGCGTACGGAGACATGAGCACTGTGCACTTGACACCTTTTGACTTCAAATTTAATTCGTTTCTATCTTTGGTGGGAAAACTCAGCACTTTTCAACATCTGGCTGCATCGAGGCAGGAAGACTCACCAGGACTCAGAACACTTCTGGTAGCAGCGTACGGAGGCAATCACAAATGGAGTGACTATTTATAACTGCCCAGATCCGTTCAGGTAAAGCATCTGCCACTGATCTGATGTCTCAGAATCAGCTTTAGAAATAACAGACATGCACAGTTTTCGAGGCCGTAGTGAAGCAGACTCAGGTAATACCTATTTCCCTTTTGCCAGCAGGATGACTATTGTGTGGCACTGAACCTTCTGCTGGCACAGGATATTTCAAGGACGTCTTGGAAAAAAATATTCTTATTTGAGTTGTTGCTACAAAGTGGAGAGGAAACATTGTTAAATCAAAGGTTTTTTTCTGAAGCAAAGATTCAAGATCATTGTCTGAATAGAGGGAGAGAGTTGTGATGGACACGATGCGGTCTGGAAGGCAGTGTGGGATGATCTTGAGTAGCACTTGTTAGAGATTTATATAACCCTCACTTAGAGGACTCTGAATAGCTAAAACAATACAAGGCAACCAGCTGAAAGTCAAACTTCTGCATTTTTTGCCAATCATGAATTTGGCTCTGTATCTCATGAATTAAGTTTTTTAAATAAATTCTCCTGAATGAGGGAGTGTCCTAAGCAGGGTTGCTTTTCTTTGTTGACATGAATACATCGTATCTCATTCAGAGGAGTTTTATGTTTTGCTTGTAATTAAGTTCAAGCGGACGGTACAAATTCTTTAACTATTGTGAAGGCTGAATTTAATTAACTTCTCTTCAAAAGTGTGTAATGCTACATTAGTGAATGTGCAGTTAGGACATTTGTTAGGAAGTGACATAATGGCATAAAAGAGCCCTGGCAACGCGAGACTGAATCATCTCTCTCACTCTTAAGAGTGACATAATCTGATCATAACCTTCTATAACTCATTATAACCTTCTGATATAGTCCTTCCAATTTGGTAATTGAGAAAAAGCAGTAATTAAGCTAAGTGTATGAAGCCTGACCTAGGATTTGTTTAGATCAAAAGCAGAACATATTCTTGTCTCTTTTATCTACAAAAACGTTACCCAATTTTTCCTACTGTCACTTGCTTTAACACACATAGCAGTCTAAAAAGAGTTAAAAATCAACAAAATTAGACACATAAGTGAGGTAGGATTCCATGCAATAACTAGTGTTAGGAATAAAAAAATCGGCCATGCAGAAGGTAATCAGGCTGGGTGCAAAGCTTTGCCAGGAATCAGAACTGGTTTGAGGCAAAACTGCGTCAAGGTTCAGGCTGGTGCTGAAATCCAGCAGTATTGCTATGACCAACAATGTTTTTCCCACTGCTTTGCACCAATCTGAGTTGACTTTTACTGACAAATTATGAACATCGCATTCATGCGTTCAAGTTCATAAATACACATATCCCTGCAAGATTTACAATATGCAAGCAGAGGACTCAGTCTAGTTCTGTTAGTCAGATTTGTGGCCTCAGCCTGACTTTAGAAACCCCCAAAACACGTTCATTGGCAAAACTGCTCATGCTCACTCTCATGGGAAGCTTGGGTGTTATGGAGGAGTCAGACTGTAGGTGCTCTGGTTTTGGACAATCAGGCAGCTGCTGCACCGGTGGCAGAGGGATGTGATTTTGGTCAAAGTTTTGAAACCTACTTCGTTACGCCTTGCCCTCTACTGAATATATTTTAGCCATCCTTTTGAGTTTGTCATTAAGTTTGTTTTTTCTTTCTTTCTCTTTTTTTTTTTTTTTTTTCTGAGGAGCTGCAGCTGTTTGTGTGAGTACAGAAACTCTGTGTACGTGGAGTAGGATGCAAGTTTGGTCCCAGCAGAATTGGTGCTGCTGTGGAATATAGAATCATAGAATCATAGAATCATAGAATGGTTAGGGCTGGAAGGGACCTTCAAAGGTCATCTAGTCCAACCCCCCTGCAAGGAACAGGGATATCTCCAACTAGATCAGGTTGCTCAGGGCCTCGTCCAACCTGGCCTACATTACACATTCATTAGCCAGTATGTCTGCCCTTACCATTTTCAGTGCTCTTTCTATGTCAATTCCTTGGCTCCACGGTACAGCAGGGTTAGCCAGGCAGTCTCCAGCACTACCTCTCCTGGAGACATCCACACGCTGTCTTCGGAGGTAACGGAAAGCCTCTGCTATGACTAGGACTGCATCGTGGGTCAGTGCAGACGTATACTAAAAAGAATGCAAATAAAATATGGTGACAAACTGCCGTCTTGGAATTGCCCCAGGTTTATCAAGTGTAGTCCTTCTCTTTGTTAAAATACTCTTAGAAGAATCATGCTTGCAAGTCCTTTTGCTTGCTCTGTGTTGCCGCAGATGCTTTACGTAGTTTAACAATTCCATCTATTTCAATTAACAAATTAAAAATATAACAAAGATAACAAAACCAGCTTATAGTTGCATAAAGTTTAAATTAATTGGAAGCTTGCTTATCTAAATGAGGTCACTACAGAAGTCTGAAATTCCATGCTGGTCCATCCTGCTACCAATAGCAAAGAGCTCACATTTGGTTTTTGCTTAGAGTATTCTTTTTCAACAAGATTGACAAGACAGACAGTTTTGAATTGAAGCTAACATAAATCATTTCTGTTTGGATCACAGTCCTGATTAGGTAGCATCTGTGGCAAGGAATAGATCAGATTACTTTTCTTAGAAGACAGCTATTCAAGCAAGTAATCACAAAATACACTTTAGGTATTACATCTCCTTGGTAATTGCCCATCTGCCTTCTCTTCCTCCACAGTAAATTTGAGGAGGATGCTAAGCTTTGTGTAGCAGCAACTCTTCAACAAAACCTCCAGCCTCCTTAACTACTTGTTCATGTTGCTGTCAGCTTCATCCATTGCCTGTCGTGTGTATCTGGTGACAACCCCCAATGCTATAAATTTAGTATCACCTATGAAATGTCATGGAGGTGTTTTTTTCACATTTCTTCCACATCTATGTCTTTGTCTGAAAGTTCTTCCCTCCTGGAATGGCCCAGGCTTTGCACATGACATCACTGGTTTTCACCGGCATTACAGCATACCTGTAATTTAGGGGTCTGTGCGCAGGAGACCCCATTTCAACATGCACACACGGGGAGCAATCGAACGTGCTCAGCGTGTAAAAAAAAACTCTTGTGGAGTTTTAAATGACAGCAGTATATAAACTCTTACTGTGTGTGGGGGGGTAGCTACTGCTCTGACTTTATCTAGGTACAGGTGTTCTTTTGATCCTGCCCACCTTTATCTCTTCCTGTGATGCTTTGCAATGATCATTCTCTCCTCTTTTAGTACATTAACAAAGGTTATACATCACACTCCACACAGCAACATAGAACCAGGCAGTAATTTTAAGGTATTTGTTCTTGTATTAAAAAAATCTTGTAATAGCTGTCCAATCTAGCACTACGTAAAACTTACATGCTGATAATTTTTTCAGCAGACTGCATCAATTGTCAGTAACCTTAATGCAGTCCCTTCCAAGTCATGCCAAGAGAGCTATCTAATTTGCTACTTTATTTGAATTCTACTTATAAATGCATGAGCATGCAAAGAGAAAAAAGAGAGAGAGAAGGGAAAGACTGATAAAATGCAGAATAAATTAAACATCAGGGCTTTAATCTCTAGGCAATTTTATTTCCTAATCAAAAATATTGTACCTCAATTTTTAAGTATGCTTTTTGTCTGATTGACAAATACTGTGCACATTTCTATAATGAGCAGCACATTTGTGGAAAAGTAATGTAATCTTTGTGTTTGTACCATATACTTAAAGATTATGTTTTAAGGACAGGGAATGATTTTTTCCTCAAGGTAAATTGCTTTCAAGTGGAATAAAATCTTCCCAGGTTAACTTTATATATTTCAGAGCTTTTAAGATTAGTACGATACTTATCTTCACTTCTGCATCACTGCTAGGAAGCTTTAGAAAGCAGGCCTAGGTCCTAATAAACAGGGAACAATACACTAATCCGAGTTTTATGGGCCTGTTTGCCTTTCTCTTCTTCCTCTGAAATGCCAGCAAGGCTGTGGAATGGTGTGGGATTAAGATAATTTTCCTTTCCCACAGGAATCACATGATCCCAGGGATGAAAAAGTATGTCTGTGAATGGCATTGGCATTCTTGCAGCAGAAATTGGTTCCTATTCCGTCTGTAGCCCAACACAGTCCTATCGCCTACCCTGGTATCCCCCACGCATTGGGCTGGACTAGATTTTTCCTTCCTAGCTAGTATTTTATGCTTCCCTAAATTTTGTCTTACTAATATAAAGACATTACTCCAGCTTATCAGAGTAATTCTGAATTCCAAATCTGTTCATCAATTTGCATGTGTCCCTCCCAAATCAAGCAGGAAAGACATCATGACTGTGGTTCTTAGATAGGTTTGGCTTCCCTGAGTCACTCAGTATACATGATGTGGAGGACTGGACTCTCAAGAGGGACAGAGTTTGAGGTCTTCTTGTCCACCATCAGTCCCACATTTTATTCACCTTTGATGAAAAAGAACAGGCCTTACCAAAAGAAGAAGAGCAAGAGGAATGTAATAGGAATATTAATACTATGCAGTGGTCCTAGAAGATTTTATGATTTCCATCACTGGACAGAGTATCCTTGATGCACTCCTTGACTGCACAGTGAATAGCATCCCCCTTTACTATACAGATGCTGAGGTAGAAAAAAATCTGGGGGAGATATTAACAGGATGCAAGTCTCCTAATAACAGTAGCCTTTAGTTCACCGAATCTATGACAGTTTTGGTGAACCTGTGACTGTTGTTCAAAAGAATCTGGAAAATTTTACTGGTTGTAGATATATTATCCAGAGTGTTTAAGTAAAGGACAGTGGTGCAAAATAGAGGGCTAGATTATGAGGGCAACTGTCAGCAGTGACTAGGAGGTGGCAGTGGCTCCTCAGTGGATCCAGAGCTACTTTATTTTGCAAATGAAATTCTCTACCAGCATTAAACTGGACTAGTAACTCACAGTTTGCACCTAAAAATTAACCCAACTGGTCCCCACACCCACCCCAAGACTATCTCAAGAAGTTCAAGTTAACAGTCTTTATATCCACTGCGCAATGACAAGATTTGCAAGACCAAGCCTTTGCCTCTGAGAAACAACCACCATGGTGGGCACTTGTGTCCAACTTAACAGCCTCTGCCTCTTTCTTCTGGGAGGGCAGTGAATGTTGCAATAACCAGGGATCTGTATCACACTCATGCATGCACCTAGGGTTAAAAAACCCCAAATGATTGTTAAAAACAACTCATACAGTCTCCACCACTGTCAGGGTAAAATAAATACCTTTAATGGTGAGTTTTTGGCTTCAGGGAATTCCCTTTCATCGAGCCTGACCCAGCGCTGTAGAAACTGTTGAACCATTGGATTTTCATTATTAACAATCTGGAATCCAGTAACGTTGGCACCTCCGTGCATTACTCTCTCCAGAACAATGTCTGTGAAACCCTGGAGGACACATGTAGAAAACAAGAATCATTGCCATCCAAAGACCCTGTTCTTTGGCTCAGTTTTACCTGCTACAAGCATAGCACGAAAGGAACAGAATATTTCCCCCCTTGTTAGCTGAAAATATTCTACGTAGGAGACAATTACTATCATAATTGGGATTGTGACTGCGGCATGGAATAGAATTTAAAATGTCTTCTTGCTCAGACCCCTGTGATAGAAAGCTGCCTGTTGTGCTGTGGCAATGTGGAACGTAACATTGACTGGTCAGAAAGAAAACAGTGGG